TTGCTCTCTGTTTGCTTTGGCCCCATGACTAAGAGTCACTGTGTTGAGTGTTTGCTTCCCACTTGATGCTAAAATAAAATCCTGTGAGTATATGTCACCACATCAGAACAAAGCTCCTCGATCTGTTAATGGTTGCTACACTACATGTCGCATACCAAAAATGCTTGTTTGGTGTTTTCTTCCACTTTACACAGAAGCAGCATATGGTCGCATACTGAGCGTAAATACACACATCCTGTTTTACTTACTCATGTTTTTTTATATGAAATGGAATCAGTGAAAACTCACGACAAATGAAGGTGTGAAGAGAATGTACTGCCACTGGCAAAATATGAATATGAGTTTTTTGTCGTAGCCCCAAAAGTTACAGGCATCCTAAGTGGTCATTCATGACTTCTTGATTCACAAGGGTATAAATATGAGGTGTCTAACAACTGGAGCTGTGTTAAACCTGCCTGGAACACAACATGAGTGTATTTTGCCCACACAGGCAGTAAGGTTTATAATTTAAGAGGCACAACTTTCTCCAAGGATCAGAGTTGGACAATTACAGGTGTCGGTTGCATCCTGGAGTCACCACATTTCCTAAACTACAATTAGATGCCACTTTCATGCCAACACTTACTTGTGCTGTCATCAAACCACCAACCTGGGCACCTGGAGTTAACAGAAGTTTATTTATACAGTACTTTTAAAAAAATAATTATTGATCAACATGCTGTGCAACAAATTAAAGTGAATTGATGGTAAAAAAAAAAAAATCAATGATATAATAGGAAAGTAAAACAACTCCATACTTCCACTATTCCATCACTGTCACTTTGATTGGAACCAGTTTTGTGGTCAGATGAGACATAAGGTTTTTGGCAACAAACAGTAAATGTGGGTTTGATATATAAAATGAATCAATGACATTCAATATACCCCAGAATGAAGTATGGTGGTGGGTCTCATTTTTTCTTCTAAAGGTCCTGGGATGCCAGGATGCCAGTAGGCTAAGACATGCTTGGAGTGTCCAGCAGAACAGTGATCCATAGCCTACCTCCAGACTTACTTGAAAATGCTTCACTGGCGGGCTCCCGAGTGGCGCAACCATCTAAGCGTTGGCCCTATCATCAGGAGATCGCAAGTTCGATCCCTGGTGATGCTACAGCCATCCGTAGCCGGGAGTCCAAGAGAGCACAATTGGCCTCACTCTCTCTGGGTGGGTAGAATGGCCCCTCCTTCTCCCCACATCACTCAACACGATGCTAGTCAGCGCAGGCATCTGTTAGCTGACGTAACAGATCTGGTGGTTGGCGCTTTCCTCTGAGCGCATTCAGCTGTCCGTTGCGTGAGCGGCAGTTTGAAAAGACGCTGTGGCTGGCTTCACGGGTCTGGAGGAAGCCTGTGTTAGCCTTCGCCCTCCTAGCGTTGATAATATTGTGTGACTGGGGGAGTCCTAACTAGCAGGTGGAATTGTCAATGACTAAATTGGGGAAATAATTGGGTTAAAATTCAGAAAATGCTTCACTGACCACAGAATCAGGCTTTTCAGTGCCCATCTCAGTCCCCTGATCTAAATCAATGGGATGAGATGAAGAAGAGAGATCACTAATGAGAACCATGGACTCAAAGGATCTTGTATGGAAGAACGGTCTCATCACTTGTTTCATGTTTAGCATTGCTTTTTTTTTGTAATAAATATGTGTAACACTTTATTTGGAGTGGTAATTAAAATGTAATTAAAAGGTAATTAAAAGTCTCTTGATAATCTACTGAATGTATTCACTACTGCTACATCATTGATATGTTGTTGATATGTTATTAAGAGTCTACTGAGTGTTTATTTCATCTCAAAAGCACCACTTAAAATAAAGTGTCATCAAAATATGGAATGAATCTGGTTCTCGTGTCATACAACAGTCCACAGCATTTTGTATTTTGTGTTAATGGTATTTTGCACGATTTTGGTCAGATTCTGAACACTTACAATACATAAAAAATGAACCAATTGGGTTGTTTGACTTACAAACTGAAAATGTGTCAAATGTGTGTTGTTTTCTTTGGTATGTAAAATGGACAAACATTGAGGAAAGTGCATAACTCAAAACTGTTTATTTTAACCCAAAGAGAATTCCATTCCAATGAAACACAAATAAACTGCACAGAAATGTTTCAGTGATTTCTTTTTTTGAGTGAACCTAAATTTGCTATGATAAATCAAAAGAAATGTCCTGTGTGAAATGTCTACACTCATGACATTCTGATGCTGAATCAACACATACTGCAATTTTATAGTGGCTAAATTTCAAACAGAAACCCACACAGTTCAAAGTGCTTCACAAAATATGGTAGCTAAATTACAATTAAAACTATAAAAACATGTCAAAACCTTCAAATGAAGTAGTGTTTAAGACAAAAATAAAATAATAGACATTAAAAAATAGCACCACCCATCTTAAATTTAACTCTTTCCAGCAAGCCAGCAGCTGATGATCGTGAGATCTGCTGTAGAACACAGTGTGACTGTAATAGCTTTGTGGAGGCACCAGAACTTCTAAAAGCAGGTAAACTCTAAAGCAGGCAACCAGAGCAGTGATGCAAGAATAGGTGAAATGTTTCTACTCTCCTCATTTTACTGGTGTGAGTTAATACTCCAGTTACATTGCACAAGCTGTTTTCTCCCAATAGTCTTTTTTAGGTAATCCAAAAAACTGGGTGTTGCAAGAATGAAGGAGGGAGAAGGAATGAAACCATCAATCTTTTTGAGTTGTGCATGATGAAGGATCCAATTTATATGTCCCTGGCACATCTTCGTTGTTAATGTGTGATTTAAATGACAGCTCTGAATAAATATATTGAATAATAACATCCAATACATTTTGTTTCAATTTGAATAAAAAAAATGACCCATAGTCTTAGGTCAAATTTATTTTTATTGTTTAAGTATTTGTATAATAGTCTCTATTATCTTTATAAATACCTATAGTTTCTTAAGCATTGCTCATAAAATGCTGTGGAGAGTAAAAAGTACAACTGATTACTTCTCTAAAATGTGTTTTTTTCACTAAGGCTGTTCATTCTGAAGGCTAATAAATTAAATGAACAATTATGAGTTGTATTGAAGGTTCTATATGTGAGGATTTGCATGCTGCTGTAACTCTGGAGTACATTCTACTGCCAGAAAAGCATCCTTCACTCAAACACATCATTAAATGAACCTTCATCATGCACCTCCACAATCTTCTGTCCAAAGTCTTTCCTGTTCTAACTAATTTCTATGCTTTTAAATCCAGCTTTGAGTGGTCTTTAATCCAAACAGGCAACATAACATCTGGAAAATGTAGTATTCATTGGCAGCCTAAGACAACCAGCAAACAGTGTGAGTTGTGTTTATACAAATAACATGCAATAAAATGAAAATTAAAAATTGTTGAAACTACCAGTGTTGGTAACATAAGGGGACATTAATGGCTCTTACTCAGTGTTATCAAGCCAATAGCTGCTACTTAACTAGCTAATTATTAGTATTTTATTAAGCAATCACTACAGTGAATTAAGCATTTCCCTGGGCACTTTTATTTGTGTGTTATAGAGTACATTAATTGTTTGCACATTTTAGGTGTCCATTATTATGAACTCATTAAACCTTATCAAACCAGTACCTGGTAACTTGTTATAACCAATAGCTGCTAATTAACTGTCTATTACTACTTTATAAAGGAGTATCTACCTAGACTCAAGCATTTCTAGAGCACTTTCATCGTATATTTTATATCATATTCTTGTGCACAGTCATTGCTTAAAATTAGGTCTATAATGTGCTCATCAGTTTGCCTCAGCAAAGCACTAGTTGAATGTCTTCATATCAATAAATAATATGCAAAAACTTGATGTATAAGTGCTCTAGAAAATGTTTGATGCCACCTAGTTATTGATTAATAAAGTAGTTATAAGCAATCAGTGAACTATCAACTACTGGCTTGATAAGACTTATTAATGCCCTTCTAAATTGAAGTGTCACCCAAATGTCTTGCTGACACAGTTTTCATATGAACCCAATAGAAGTGAAATGTGGAAGTAACAGCAAGATGTGGGTTAGAGGAAATAAAGCCATGAAACTGCTGAGTGCACTTCAACGTGTTTAAAATAGCAAAAAAAAAACAAAACAAAAAAAAAAACATAAAATAAAAGAAAAACAACTGCAATGCACTTTTTCAATTGTGCATCCTGGGAAAACATGAGAGACTGCACTTATCCAGCACACAGAACATGAGCACACAGCATAAACACAGTTAAGAGGTCACAGAAGATGTCTGTGGTCAATAATGGCAATAATGGCATAAAAAGCATTTTCTTACTGTAAGCAGATCTCACTAGGAGGTAATTTGCAAAAAATAAATCAATAACACCAAGAGCACAGTGGTGAGTGTTGTATCAGATTGCCATTACAGCACATTGTTCTAAATCATCTCCCAGTGAGGCACTGAAGCATGTTGGTTGTGCTATACATTTCACACATTTTACATTTTTTGCTTGCTAAGAGCTGTTGCTATCTGGCCTTATAACAAAATAAACCATTAAAAAATTCATTTATTATCAGCAACCTCATTTCTAAGGCAGTGTCAAGAGAAAGAATGTTGATGTTGATGCTTGTGATTTTCTGATTTACTAATTTGCACAAATAAAGAGATTCTGCCATTTAAAGTCTCAACATCCTTTTTTTCATCACACAACAATTTGTGTGAACAAGAACAGGGACACGAGTGGATATCTAAACACACTTTAAAAGGGTCAAGACTTCAAAACACTGATGTCAGCTTTTACATACTTAATCTGTCAAGGGAGACACAATTACTCTGTAGTTATTTGCCATTTGAGGGGGAGAAAGCAGAGTCTTTTTTCCCTTATTTAAACATGTAAACTTTGAATTCGGAAAAAAGGGTGAGAAAAGAGAAGAGAAGAGGAGGGAAGAGATTGCCTCATTTTGCAGTGACATCACTCGAAGGTCCAGCTCACCGTGTTTTAAAGCAGTCAGGCCACGCGGTGAGCACATTAGAGAGCGCAAAGGAAAGTGGCAGTACATCCGGAGGGGAAAAGCAGCACATCTGGATTTATTTTAAGAGAGGTCTCTTTCAAAACAAGGTACGTACAGCTTTGACAAGTCTCATAGTCTTAACAGAAAAACATTCATTACAATTCAGAATGGACAGAATAATGTCTCTTTAGAGTGTTAATGTAGGTATTTTAGTCTGAAATGATAATGAATACTTCTTGATTCAGAGTTTACTCTCTACACACTTAAAGTGTTACCCAAATGCCTTGTCAGGATGATTTGGTGGTTCCAACATAAAAATAACATCAAGAAGTATTGAATGGTGTCCCTGTAATCCTGCTGTTAGTATTGTGTATGCAGGTATTTTGTGGATTTGTGGACATTATCTACAGATATTTATACCCTTTAATAAGATTACAAAATGCAGATATGGTAAACAATGTTTTGAATGTTTTACCATATAGTGCTGGAACAGCTTAACAACCTTGGCATTGGACTCAGTTCAGCCAGACTTTTCTAGGTCAGTGTGCTCCAGGTTTGTGAAAATATTAAAGAATGAAATTGAAACCATCTGAACAAAAACACATGCTTTCATTCACAGGCGTAGCACAGTGCCTTTGAGACAGTATGAGCTGTAATAATAACATCTACATGTGACTCTGTACTGTCTGAACAACGAAACATTCACTCAAGAAAGTGGCAAAGGAAAGTTCACAAACTTGTCCAATTGTTTAACATACTCTAAAGCACTGGTTCTTAACTTGGGGGTTGAAACGTAGTCCCAGGGGTGTCGCAGGAGTGGAGATACAAAAACATATACCACAACAAACACAGAGAAAATCACTTTGATGAGTGCATGCAAGCTCTGCTGAATAGCTTTACCTACAGACCATAGAAGACAGGCTAATGTTGATTATGAATTTCTATTGTATGTGGTTGTCACTGAGGGAGGTTCTTGATTGACCATTAAACTTAACCCCTAAAAAATCCCAGGCTTATTACAAGGCTTATTATTCAGTAACTACAGGTACTTCAGTACAAACTGGCTGGTCTATTCTTAGATTATAGAAGTATGTAATAAAACTTTGGGCCCGGTGGCAGTCCCTTGGCCACTTAAGGGGTTAAAGCTCTTTTTGGTGCAAGGCTGAGCCATGTCTGGAACTGCTCTGTGAGTCAATGCAGGCCCAGCCATCCAATTAATTGAGTGGTCTTTTTATTTGAATATTATTCCATAATGTATCACAAACCAGATATGTGTGGGCCAGTAGAAATTCTGTAAATTTACTTGAAATAAAACCTCATTCCATTAACTTCCATTCAAAGTTCCAAATTTCTTTTTTCTGTTTTCTACCATTTTGAAGATGCAAGGTTTTGTTGTGACAGTGATGATTAGTTGTCAGACTGGTGCTCTATTATTAATAGTAATAATGCAATATTACTTTTTACAAAGTTTACTCATTGGTCCTTATTGTCTCCCAACTTCTCCTGAGCACAAATCTGGACTGATTTTTCAAAAGCGTTCATATGGCTATTAATTTAGTATTTTGTTTATATTAAATGCAGTCTTTCAATCCGATTTTTAGCAAAATAATAGAAATGCCAAATTTTATAAAGTACTATGAGAAAACACAAAAAAATAAAACAAATGAGAACTCAGCATATACATACAAAAATCCTTTCTGACTGAATAACAAGAAAATGATCTGTCGCTCTTTCCCTTATTTTACTAAAATGTATCTTTTGGACATGAATGGGTCAACCCCTTAAATTTCCAGTCTTATTACCCCATTAGGCTCATTATTCAGTAAGACAAAGCAAACTGGCTGAGTTATTCTTCAGCAACAGAAGTAAGGAATTGGGAGCCTGGACCCACTGGCAGCTCCTGGTCATTTTGAAGGGTTACCGAAAAGTCTCAGACCATTCCAGTACACAATAACCACATTTGTTAGAAGATGTGATTTGTATGCTTGGAAAAGGTTAAGAGGCCAAATATTAACTGCTCTGCTGTATATACATGTAACTTGGCACCCCTCCACTTCCTTCCTCCTGCATCTTCCTCTTCATTAACAATTTCCTCTGAACAGGCTGCTTGGATTACTCTAAAGAGCTGGAAAATTGCCCAAGCATTGTGGTTGAGATAAGAACTGTAAAATATGATATGATAAGAGGGTGTCTCTAAAGACACTCAAGAGGGGAAAGAAAAATAATAACTCTTCTCTCTTTTCATCTCTTGGCAGACAAATGGAGCCAGAAGCACCAGCAACCACACCATCAATTTTCCCCACCAATTTTACAAACAACAGCCAGTGCAATGACTCTGAGGCATGGGTCTGGCTGTACACCATGCAACCAATTTACATGTATGTCATCTGTGCGCTCGGAATTGTGGGAAATGTCTTCGTCCTGCTGGTCTTTTGCCTTCATAAGAAGGCCTGCACCGTGGCAGAGATATACCTGGGGAACCTGGCTGCAGCTGACCTCCTCCTGATGTGCTGTCTGCCTTTCTGGGCCATCAATGTGGCCAACGGCTTTGAGTGGCAGTTCGGCTCCCTGATGTGTCGCCTGGTTAACACAGGAATGAAAATGAACATGTACTGCAGCGTCTACTTCCTGGTGCTTGTGAGCGCAGATCGCTACGTGGCACTGGTGCATGCCATATCCCATGGCAGGATGCGGCGGCCCTGGTACGCCAAGCTTAGCTGCTTAGCCGTGTGGAGTCTGGGAGTGCTCCTCAGCATCCCCACTCTCAACTTCAGGGCTGTACAGTACATTCCAGAATACAGTGTAACAGCCTGCATACTGCACTACCCCAGCTATGAGGTGGAAGTGGCTTGTGACATTCTACTCATTCTGCTGGGCTTCATCATCCCAGTGTCCGTCATATCCTACTGCACCTGGAAGATCATACATGCCCTCCACAGGCAGGTAATGGACAGGTTCAACGCAGTAAATACAGAGAGGAAAGCCACAGTGCTGGTGCTGGTCGTTCTTCTGGCTTTCCTGCTCTGCTGGGTTCCTTTCCATCTGGTGACTGTTATAGACCTCTTGGTGCGATTCCAGGTACTGAGTGGATGCACACTGCAAACTGGCCTAGAAATCTGTAACCAGATATTCACTTACTTAGCCCTAAGCAACAGCGTGCTTAATCCTATTCTGTATGTGATAGTTGGTAAGAACTTCCGAAAGAAAGTGAAGGAACTCCTGGAGCAAATGACCCACCAAGGGACAAAAGTGAGCGGTTCTACACGATCACATCTGTCATCAACTCTGAAGACCTTTGCATGATGAATGGTCACACCAAGGAAATGCTATTGGAGCTAATCTGCTATTGGGAACATGTCTTTGCTCAAACAGTAGGGGAGAGCAGGGCACAAACTAACGCAGAGTAAAATGTAACATGGCTATTTTTGTAGCTGCACAGGTTCAAATAGAATATGCTATTAGTCATGTTCTTGTATTCTTACAGCAACATCATGTGTGAATTTTGACATCAATTAAACAAATATTTGTGATATACCCAGAAGACCATATACCATGAAAGTAATTATTCATCATCAGTCTTCTTCAGTTACTGCTAGTGTGTACAAGTCACAGAATTTATGCTAATCACCCTCTGGGTGGCTGCAATACAGTACCGTTTTGAAATACTGACAGTGAGAGCCAGCCAGGCTAAAGTACAGCCTCCACATGGTGGAGTTAGTTTTAATGCAGTGTTACAACTCAGACTCCTTAGTAAGCAATGTGAGAAGTCCATTTCTGGCCATATAACTACACAACAGTGATTTTTTGGAATTTTTTTGAGAAGAGAATCATCCAAAATGTACTATAGATATCAAGTAAATAAAATATGTATCAATCCTGTTGTGCTAATATTACTTCTCCTACTTCTTGTTCAGAAATTCAAGTTCGCTGTTTTCAGCACAGCTTCTTTTCACTAATCATTGTTATGATAATGAATATTTTTATGTGTTTAGGGTGTAAAGCTTGTCCAGTTCAAATGACAAAGAATTGTGTTTTGGATCGATTTAGCAGACTTGTGACTGTTACAACAAGTCCCTTCTGTTACAATTAACCTTATTTTTGGGGTAAGATGTAACATTTGCACTTACTCCACTTTCAGGTGAATTATTTATGAACAGTAGGTGCTGGAACAAAGTTCATGTTTTCATTTGTAGCAGAAAGGTTGCTTGTATATAAAAAAAGAATCTTCTCCAAATACTTTGAAAATGATTTAGCAAAAACCAAATGCGTTAGTTTGTGCCCTGCCCATGTCTGGGAATAAAGACATGGTTCTTGATTTTTCACACAAAATGATGTATTAGATTATATTCCAAATACTCAGAATTATTATACTGACAAGATAATAACAACTCAATGTAACTATTACTGAGGTGTAAATATGACTTTGTATGTAAGTATTGTACGTAGTATGTAAGTTTTGGTAAATAAATTGCATAATGTGTGATTTTTGATGTCCTTCACTTTGTACTAAATGGGATGTGATGTAATGATACAGGTGAAAAAGACAGACAAAGCTTTTTATCAAAGCAAAGTGTGTTTTTCCAATTACCATCACTGGTTATCAGGGGCCAAGAGAACAAAATTGAACTGTAAATATTGTCGGATTATGTTGGTGACGGTGCCTGATGTGAGCTAAAGTTGTGAAATCAGGCCTGATGTTTGAGGCTGTTTCTAAGTGCCCTGTGTAAACAGGAAAATGAAGTTTACAGACAACATTACTTACTCTAAGACACTGAAATGATTTTCCAGAAATTTTAAGAAAATAATCATACTCCACCCAGGTTGAACTGGAGACCGTGTCACACTCTTTCCTATTGTGACACAAACCAGGTTCTTTTGCTGTGGCTTGTGAATAACAGCCTCTTAAATCATGTGTTTTCCCAAAGCCTGCTGTCTGGCGAGACGTGCTGTCAAAGCAGATGGTGGTGAGTAGCACACCCCCATGTGACCACAAGTTCCAAACTTGGCAGTAAATGGGACTTTACCATTGTGTGTGGGTGGGTACTGAAAGCCTGAAAACAACTTGTAATCTGTTTCTTTTTCTTTCAATAAAAACTCTTCTTTTCATAAATCACTAATTTCAGACTTTTATTAGTAACTGAAAAACCAATTATGGCCTAGCAACGTCAGTGGAATCTCAGCCCCTGGTTATGAAGTTCATGTGCCAACACTGCATACAAACCATGAATGTCTGAAAGTCTGCAGTGCCATTAAAAAAAGTATTTGCCCCTTCCTGATTTTTTCTTTACTGCATTTGTCACAGTGAATGCTTTTGGATCTTTAAACAAAATGTAATATTAAATAAAGAGAACCTTATCAAATACAAAACACATTTTAAATTATTGTTTCATTTAAATAAGGAGCTTTATTTAAGATATCCAACATGTGAATCAGGCATGTGAAAAAGCAAATGCCCCCTTGAAATGAAACTTGTTTTATGAACTTTAAAGATTGTACAGGTGCTTGTTGCAAATGTGAGACAAACAGCGATGTTTCTTTTCATTAGATGTGTTTTATGCCTTCTTGCTCTTCCATGATCACCATCTACTGCCCACTCCCTTCCTTACAGTGGAGTCATGAACATTGACCACTGAACACAAGGCTAGAGAGACCTGCAGTTCCTTGGAAGTTCTCCAGGGGACAATTTGACTGACTGGACACGTCCTGGAATGTTCATTCTTCGTTTTTAGATAACATTGCTCCTTAAATAAAGTAATAATGATTTTTAAAAATGTTTCACGCATGATAAGTTTCTCTTAAAGTTTGTTCAAAGATCTGAAAAAAATCTTTGTTGCAAATATGCAATAATCTAGAAAGTCAGGAAGGGGCAAATAGTTTTTCACAGCACTGTATATGAAAACAGAGCTAAACAACAACCTATTATGACCAGAGAATACAGCCTGTGAGGAAAACTGTCTGCTGGTTGTGACCTATCCTTATAACTAGTTATGTATGATCAAGTGACGGGGGCAGCAGCCATTCATTTTTTATGGCAACAAATGGTTGTTTATTGCTGTGTCCAGTGTCGATCAATCTAGTAGACTATTTCTCTTTTGTGATTATTGCAGCCACAGTAAAGAAACAGTGGTGTTGATACTGGTTCAAAATGGTGCGACCCTCACTCCAAAATGCCCTTTTAAACTCTGGTGTAAGGGCATCTATGGGGAGTCAGTGAGTCAGTCAGTGAGTCAATTATGGATGCTGACTATTATTATATGGTCTGCTGAAAAAAAAGTATAACTATCTGAATGCTGAATTCTAAGAAAAAACAGGGTGTGCTCTAAACTGAGACAAAGTAAAGACATGTGATCCTTGACTTATCAGGAAAACACCCATTCATCATGCCACAGGTAAAAGTGGCGCATGGCACTGAGAGGTGAGCAGTTATTCCAGTGTGAAGTCAGGCAGATAAGATCAGCCATCTGTTGCCTCCATTTGATGTTCATCACAGCTTAGTTTATTTAAAGAGTTCCTGAGCTACATTAGCAACCAAATGCAGTCTTTGTCCTCCCTCTGATAAAAAGAAGGTGCCTCAGTCTCCTTCAGCCTTCAGTCAGGTTTTGGGCTTGATCTGGTTCACATCAGAGAGCTGTATTATTTCTTCCAACATACGTATAGTAGAATATCTTTTATAACATTATTTTTCAGCTTTATTCAGTCAGTTAGGTTTGACGCACATATATCTGTCCCCTGGAATAGTCTTTGTGATGATTTTGAACGGCACTGCAGACCCATCCCTGGAGCTGTCTGAGTGGGAGCTGCTGGAGTGTAACCACACCGAGGCCTGGGAGTGGGTCTACTCTATACAGCCAGCCTATATGTCCGTCATCTGCATTCTGGGTGTGCTTGGCAATGCCTTCGTCCTTTCTGTGTTCTGTGTCCAGATGGGGCCATGCTCAGTGGCAGATATCTATCTGGGGAACCTGGCGGCTGCTGATTTGCTCATGGTGTGCTGCCTCCCTTTCTGGGTTACCACTGTCATTCACAAGTTCAACTGGTCATTTGGGAAGCCCATGTGCCAACTGGTCAACCTGATAATCGGTATGAATTACTACTGCAGTGTGCTGTTCCTTACGCTGGTCAGCCTGGATCGTTACCTTGTGCTGGCCAGGTCCATGTCCATGGGCAGGCGCAGAGGTGCCACCCAGGCCAAGGCCATCTGCATGGTGATCTGGCTTGCAGGATTCTTGCTCAGTCTTCCCGCCTTGCTCTTTCGCTCGGTGCAGTTTTTCCCCGATCTAGAGGCGGAGGCGTGTTACCTGGCTTACCCTCACGACGGCTGGAGGCTGCGCTTCAACATGACGGTCAATGTGGTGGGCTTCCTCATTCCCGTGCCCCTTGTGTGCTACTGCAGTTACCACATCATCGCAGTACTTGGGAACAAACAGGTGAGGAGGTGTTCGGCTGTAAAGACGGAGAGAAAGGCTGCGGTCTTGGTGCTTGTCGTCCTTTCCGTTTTCATCCTCTGCTGGCTGCCTTTTCAAATTTTTATGCTCCTGGACACCCTTTATTATTTCAATGTTATCTCTGGCTGTCCCTGGATAAATGGCCTGGACATAGGCACCCAGCTATCTACCTACCTCGGTTATAGCAACAGCTCTCTTAATCCCTTCCTATATGTGATAGTAGGAAAACACTTCAGGCAAAGGGCTAAAGGAGTTCTTGTACAGATTCTGAACTGTGGGGGTCGAGGCGTCTCTTCTGCTTACAAAATCAACTCAAGCTTGAGATACACAGAGTCAACCAGAGTATGAGCTGATGATGTTTGATGGAGTGATTCCACAGTGCCCTCTGCTGTTATGTGTTTGCAATTACCAGTAGACATGTTACAACAGTGGTCCCCAACCCTGGACCTGGAGTACCCTCTGCCTTGTGCATTGTCCCTGCTCCCACCACACATTCAACTATTCAGTTAATTCAGAAGAGCTTTCTAAATTGAATGTGCAGGACAGGGATACTCCAAGACCAGGCATGGGAACATTAACCTCCGGAGTTGTGTATCATTCTGTAGTCAGTGTCATGATCATGTATGACCTCAAAGTCTAAGCATTTTTTCTATTTGAGAAAAATGAATGGCATTTCTATGGTAAACAAAAACGTTTTTTGTCCTGTGCTCATTTTTCCCTCAAGTGTGACTGGGTCATCTGAATTATGAGGTCATTTAGCAGTCAAAATATACCTAATGTTACATACCTGATACAAGCAGGATAATAGTCCTGCGCATTGAAATGACCTCATCTGCAAAAGTTGCAAACATCTCAACTTCGTGGACATCAAACCATTGACCCTCCCCATAAAATTACTTTAGGTTTTTGCCAACAACCGCAAAGCTAACTAGCTACATTAACTAGCCAGTTAAATGACTGTTTGTGCCTAGCCTGCTGTTGTCATGATTTACATAGCTAGACTTGTTTTCTCCACTCTATACACCCCCCTCCCAGTTTCACACAGAGCTCAGATTCATTTAGGATCCAACCAATGAAAATCATTAGAGAAGGGAAGAGTGAGATGCTCCTAAGACAGGGTGAGCAAGGCATCAAGTATAGGTCATAATGGCTACTTAAATCAATTTACAAAGGCTTCACATACACACAACAGAAAAAAAAACTCAAATATGTAGTAAAGAACCCTAAACAGAATGAGAAAAGATAAATATATAGATACGGGGAAACAGAATGGCAACAACAGCTGAACAATATACACAAAGATGATAAAAATGCCACAAATATGTACTACCCTTTTTCAAAAAAGTTGGGACGTTGTACAATATGTTAATGAAAAAAGAACGTAATGATGTGCCCAAGATATATGCCCATTTTGAATTTGATGCCAGCAATACATTTTAAAAAAGGTGGGACAGGAGCATGTTTATCATTGTGTTGCATCCTCTCTTTTTTAATAACACTCTGTAAGTGTTTGGGAACTGTGAAGACCAATTATTGTAGCTTTGAAAGTGATTTTTTTTCTCATTCTTGCTTGATATAGGCTATCAGATCACGGCCAGCCAATATTGGTTTTCGGCCTTGCCCCTTGTCCCTCTGGATTCTCTGAATCTTTTAATGATGTTATGTATCATAGATGATGAAACCCCCCAGTTCTTTGCCATTTTACTTTGAGAAAGGTTATTAAATTTTGTTGCACTATTTGCCTGTGCACTATTTGACAGAGTGGTGAACTCCTCCCCATCTTTACTTTTGAAAGACTCAGCCACTCTGGGATGCTCTTTTTTATACCCAATCATGTTACTGACCTGTTGCCACTTCACCTAATTATTTGTGAGATGTACCACCAGGTGTTTTTTTTAGCATTACACACCTTTAACAGTCTTTTGTTGCCCTGTCCCAATTTTTGAAACATGTTCCTGATGTCAAATTCAAAATTGACACATATTAAAAAAATAATAATAATTAGAATTTCCCATTTTCAACATTTGATATGTTGTCTTTGTACTATTTTCAATTAAATATAGGGTTGAAATAATTTGCACATCATTGCCTTGTTTTTATTTAGATTTTGCATAGTGTCCAAACTTTTTGGAAACTTTTGGATAAATTTTGTAAATTTATCAGATAACTTTATATTGAGGACAATGTGGTGTATCAAAAATACAAGCTGCTAATTTGGCTAACCAGTGGAGTAACTGGATGTTGTGTGTTCAAAGTTTTGTTTTTGAACTGCTTCATGCAAATGTTAAGTTGCACAAAATTTATGTTGTTAAGTTGTAAAGCTGGCCTAAGTCTGCTATTAAACTTAAACACTTTTACATAAGAACACCGGCTACTCAAGATGTTGCCCAATACTGCCAAATCAACTTAACCACCACATTAGCTATCACTAGTTTGCTAGGGTACTTTGGTGAGGCCGCCAGTGTTCTGATGTTAGTTCTAGTAACATTTAGGGGAAAAATGTACGTGCAACAAAACTTATTGGCTTTGAAACTTTTGGTTTACTTCAGGGTGTAATAACAGTGATTTTTCAAAGTGACCCTCATTTGTCTCGCAGAGAAAACCAGCTTAGACCAAAAGATCCTAAAATGGGCATGATGCTGAATAGAGGAAGATAATGTAACTTCAGATGTCTATGAGGAAACAGGCCTGACTTTTTTGTTTTCTGTTCATGCATCTATCCTTGTGAGCTTACAATCAGGCAGATAAACTACTTTGGAAATGTAATGTACTCATCACAATTTATTTGACTTAAATGTGAAATAATCATTTAGATTATATGGAAAGTACAATCTAATCTGATTACTTTTGGATTTTGTCTGATATTTTTTTCCCTGTACCTTCTGAGAAGTAAGGTTGTTTTTTACACCCAGTGGTCAGATACTGATTGCTCCACTGTTGGTCTGTTGTTGCAGTGGCCCTATTATCTACACATCCTTCCTTTTTTCTCCCAAAACCACATTATTACTGTTATCTGTGATAGTGAAACGACTGTAACGCAGCTTATGGGCATGAACAGTAAATAATAAATGAATAGACTAATTTATTAATGCTGCCTAATTAAAAATGTAATTTAGAAAAATTAGTAATCCTTTAAAAAGTAACTGCAATCTGATTACATATATCTCATGAATAGCACTTGATTTTTTTTTTGATTCAATCGAGTAAGCCAAGTAAGTCCTTCACCATCCAAAACTGTCAGTCACAGCCGAAATTTGTTATACATTTGATTACTGCTTGTTTTGCAATCTTAATCCAATGTACTGCTTTGTAATGTAAAGTGCACATATAATCTATTACAGCTATTTATATGTGTCTGCATATGCTTTTTTGTTCTTTTGAAGTGTGTTTTTTGCTTAGATTCTGTGAAATCACCTGGGAGAAGGCTGTTTAACTCTCTACTGTTACCACTTCATTTGTCAACCATGCTTTTTTTTACTCATACTGAGGAACTTCTCCCAGGATAAAATCTTTAAGCTGCTGTTAAAACAACTGTAAACTATTATTTAACTTTATCATTGTGTGAGTGCAATAAAGCATTCCAAAAATGCTTTCATTTGTCACATGGATTTGTATGAAACGTATGTACAGAGTGTACTTTATAGAGTTTGCTCTGAATGAAAATGCTTAGAATCATGTACACCCAAAGAATTTTTCTTATACTACTCACATATCGTTCATGTATATCCCACTTACAGATTTCATTGTGTCTTGTGTCTCATTTGCTGGAGAGGGTTACCTCCCATGACTATAAACAAGATAGCACTATAAACAAGAGAGCACTTCAAACTTGTGGGAGTGAAGGAATCCAGCTCTGTACACATAGCTGCTCACTCTGTTCCTCTACTCTGCTCGCTCACTCAGAAGGAGTTTTACAACGGGTGGAATCTGTTAAACACGGCATGATACACTTCAGCAATTTGAATTTCATATTATTATAAGCAGTTAGGGCTCTCCAGTGGTCAAAAGTACAACAAACTTACAAGGTGAGTCAGTTTCATGGATTTTCTTTTCATATTTTGTAAGGAAAAATAGCTTAGCATAAAACTGCTCATGAATTTGAATCCGTTGAGCGTGGCTGATACAGAAAAGTGTTAGTGAATGCTGTATAGACTTTCACATAGGAACAGCTCTGGAATGTACTAGATCTTAATAACATGTTATGCAACTGTTTAATGATGTCCTCCTTGTATCTCCAAAAGATGGATGAAGTGAAGCCTGTATCTGTGGCAACATTCCAACTTCAAAATACCACAGATGCTCCTTCACTTCCTATGATGTTCAACTCATCAGACTGGCATCTTGTTTATGCCATCGTACCACCATACATCTTTATCCTGTGCTTAACTGGGATTCTGGGAAATGCTTTTGTTTTACTAGTGTTCTTCCTACAGAGGAGCCACTGGACTATACCTGAGATCTACCTGGGCAACCTGGCTCTTGCTGACCTTATCCTGCTGGCTGGTTTGCCATTCTGGGCTATGAACATCCTCAATTACTTCTACTGGCCTTATGGAGAGTTTCTATGTAAGGTGGTCAACCTCTCCATTATTGTCAACATGTACACTAGCATTTACATGCTGGTGATGGTGAACGTGGACCGCTATCTTGCACTGGTGCTGACAATGAAAGCCAGATGGTTGAGAAGGAGGCGCAATGCCAAAGCTGTTTGTTTTTGTCTCTGGGTCTTTGGACTGGCCATGGGCATACCCACTGCGTCTTACCGGACAGTGCAGTATTTCCCAGCCTTTGAGCATGCAGCCTGCATTATCATCTATCCTTTAGACTCCTTGAAGGTGGCCCACAGCCTCCAGTTGAACCTGCTGGGCTTTGCCCTGCCTCTTCTGGCTATTGTCTTCTGTAGTTGTAATATCGTGCGAGCCTTGCACAAAAGAAGGGAAAATGTGCACATACAGGATGGAAATGACCGGAAGGCCACGGTGCTGGTGTGTGCCGTGACCCTGCTGTTCCTGCTTTGTTGGGGTCCGTTCCACATTATAACCTTCCTGGATACGCTTTGTGATCTCCACGTCTTGGACATGATGAGGTGGTATCACGCCTTAGACATCGGATCCCAGTTTTCCACCTACTTAGCGTTCCTTAACAGCTGCCTTAACCCATTGCTGTACATATGCACAGGCCGCTACTTCAGGAGGAAAGTCAGCGAAATCTATAAGCGGAGAAGAAGCTCAGTTGGATCTGTGGTCACCGCCCTGCAGCGCTCAGTTGTGTCAACCTACATCCAAAGGACTGATCAAATCACACCAGTCGTACTGTAGGACCAGAGCTACAGTATATGTACGTTACCATATATGGATATAAAATGGATCCAAAAAGAAATTGTCCTGGTAGATATAATACAGCACTAGAAATGTACACACCAGAGCTCTGTGACACAAAAATGTTTGTCAGAATGACTTGTGCGGGTTGGACATGCATGTGGAGGGATATTTGTGAGCTATATAAACATCTACCTTACTCTGCAGTTTAGACAGTCCCTGCAGCTTCTAACAGTCTTGCTGTTTAGCATCAAGCCTTGAACGTGCTGTTCATTACTGTCAGAGGTACTGTCATTATGTATCAAAACATCAGCGTTCTAGAAGTCCATTTAGGAAAGTTCGTGAACTCAGCTTTTCACTTTTCATGATAGTGGCTGGCTTTTTTTTACTGAAGGGTGGGTCTTTCCCTGTAAATGGACTTGATGAGTGTTACAACTTTTCCCATTTATTGTTTAAACAGTGAAATGTCTTCCCCTCCTTTATAATGTCTCTGATGAGATAACAACCTGAGTAAAATTAGCTACCAAAAAAAGTATTTTCTTACTTACTTACTAGTACCTACTGCACTGCACTTATCAGAAATAAAGGTAGTAAACTGTCACTGGGGCAGTACCCCTCTCATCACTGGGGTGGTACCCTCAAGGGTACATCTCAGTACCTTTAGTCAGGGAACATAACCGTACCATAATCCATTGTAATAATATTTTCTTTTTTCCACACGCTCTGTCTCGTCTCCAGGCTTTTTGTTTTATTGTTCTGTTTTAAATATGAGGTTATGAAAAGGTACAAATATTTACTTTTCACCTGGAAAAACTACACAATTAGACCTCAAAGCCACTGTTGTACCTTTGAGGGAACATTTACATTGTTTGTACCTTGATGAACGAAAAATGTACCTGCACAGTACTTTTATTTCCAACAGCGTGCAGTGAACTTTTTTAGTACACCCAGCATCTATCAGCATAGGAACTGAAGCTGCTTATTCTTCTCTTCTTGGGTTCTTTTGGTCTAAAATAGTATGCGAAAGCCCCCAAAATCGGTGTGAACAACAACAACAAAGCCGTCCAGCTGCTGTTGCCAAAAGAAAAATTTGAATTGAACCCAAAACCATTAACTAAATCTGAAAGACTAACATGGAAGTGGGTAAAAAGATTCATTTCTCATAAATACACATGAGTAGAAGTGAAAGTGCTGTCAGAAAAGTACAGATCCATCAAAAGCTTCACTGAAGTTGACTATAGGAAACTGAGAAATGTGGTGAGTTACTACCCAATTTTCACTCTCGTTTAAGGAAGGGTAAAGCTATGTTCACTCAGTTTTCAATAAAAGTGTTTTCCAATATATTAAGAAGGATACATTTTATCTGTAAATGTTAAAGAGAATATGTTTATTAATAAAAACTGAATTTACATCTGGCAGAAGAGTTGAAAAAGTTACATTGTTAAAAGTCTCAGCTTGTTTTTGATGAATAATGAAGGTCAGTTTGCTGTTATTTTTACTACCCAGAACTCACAACTGCTAACACTTTAGCTAACACTTTATTAGTCCCTAAAGGGAAATCAAAGTGTTCAGATAAACATAGAGTACACATAAGTAAGGAAAAAACAATAACCTAGAATAGGAAAATGTATAGCATGAAATACTAAATATATATATATATATATATATATATATATATATATATATAGAGAGAGAGAGAGAGAGAGAGAGAGAGAGAGAGAGAGAGATAGATAGATAGATAGATAGAGAAATAGATATGTGTGTGTGTGTGTGTATGTGTGTGTGTATTTACATACAATTATAGCTCTGCTAAGGTGCAAAAAGGTGTCACACTCCTATATACATAGAGTATTAAAGTTATAGTTATATTTATAGAGACATTGTTGTATACAATTGTATACAAGTTATTGTTTACAGCTATTGTTAAAGTTAGGGCCAAAGTTACACTGTTAGTGTTACAGTGTTACAGTAGCAGTAATCCATGGATGAGGTACAGTTTCAGTACTGTTTCAGTAAATAAAGCACCCAATGCAGTACTGCTGTAACTTACAGTATTGTGAAAAAGAGCATGACCAGTGCAGAATAAGCAGTAATAAAGTGCAGTGCAGATGATACGTAGATGTACAATGATGCGTGAGGTATAGCTGAGTTTGGTTTTAAGGGCCTCATACCTAAAAACCACAAAGAAAATGTTAGTCTCTGCATTGTCTGTAACAAACGATCTAATGCTCCCTCTGCTGGAGTAGCATGTCCTTGTACCCCTCAAGCTTCGTAAAGGGGAGGCCATGTCAGTGTGACAAAGAACAGCCCATGCTGATGGATGCTTTTTTTAGCTGAGCTGAGAGGAAGCTACGAATAGAGGAACTCACAAGAGCTACAGGGCTGAGGCTAAGCAGGCCTCGAATACAGACTGTTACCACTGGCATGGGCACCTGATTTTGTGTGGAAGAGGTGGAGGAGAGTTCTAACTCTGTGCATTAACCGACCAATGCTGTGGATCTCAACCAAGCATCAGTGAAGTTTAGGAAACAAAACATTGTTTATTCTACCTAGTAATGGACTTCTTTGCTACAGACAGGAGCAATGAAAAATGCAGTGTACTGCTGCTTGAGGTACTGATTACTGACAGTTTTCACATTTATGATATTTTAAATTCCACAAATAAAAATCACACTAAAAACTTAACGTTGGCTAGTCAACTAACTTTTACAAAATTACGTTTTGTTGATTTGTTTGATTTTTAAAGTGAAAATTAGAGGAAGTACACATACTCTGTAAAGAATAAACTAAAATGTGGCACTTTCTGTGAATTTTAGTGCACAATTTCTATTCTTTTATTTTATTACAACATGAAATGCAACTTTTAAAATGTGCCATAACTTTTGCAGAGGCAATTTCATGTTTTTCCTTTTCCTCAGTATGTTAAATTCAGCAAATAAACAGTAAATGAGCATCAATATGTACAAAAGTGTGTTCTCTGTAGAGGATGTTTTAACTTATTTTCATTTACAAATTCAACAAAACATGTAGTTTGACAAGGAGTGTTCAAAAACATTCAACAGCTTGTCAGTATGTTTACTATGCTGTTGAGTGCAAGATATTGAAACTGTTTATGCTGAAAACAATTCCAGCTGATTATAACTCTTGTACGAGATCAAAAATATACACTATTTTTAATCCACCATTATAATTTTCTCAGTTTCTGCAGTTTGTCTCACCAAACACGCATCTCCTCACTTCATTGTGCTGTAGACACTCAGGCTGTTCAAATGCTCACAGCATATAGTTCAGCATCTTGTCTGTGTCAGTTTTTAGGGTTTATCAAATTAGTTAAATCAGTTTTTCATTCAGATAAAGTGGGGAAGAAAAGCATACGCTCTCCCTAATAAAAGTGGGGTGCTCCATTTACTTCATTGAACAAGGGCCTCATGTACAGACAGCATGATGCTCTCCATTGTGAGCAAGTAGAACTATAGAGAAATACACACAAAGTACACACATGTTTTGGTGCTCCTAGAGTAATTTCATCCAAAGTCGCAAAGTAGATTGACCCCAAAAGAACGTTTCGATAACAGTTCCGCTACAGAGATAAGCTGAAGAGCCACATATGCGCAACAGCTTAAAAGAATCAAGTTACAGTATTATTCCTAAGAACATACAGGGAAAAAGGCTTTCCTAGAAAGTGAACTGTGCTCACTGTAACTCATCATTTATTTATTTGCATTTATTTGCAAAAATGATTTATTTGCATTAGCTGCATTTGCATAGCAGCAACACCTACTCATGGGACAATATCCCACGAGCGACAGTAGGTAAAAAATTTCTTTAGATAAAAGACTCCTTTACAGCCAACATGGTCTTAAATGAATCCTTCAACGAGACTAAATCTCAATGTACATTTAATGACACAGTGGATGCCTACATGTATCCTACTGCCTACTCTTTGTTTTTTATCCTTGGACTTCCTGGTAACTGTTTGTCCCTGTACGTAGCCTGGGTGCTAATGCGGCGCGGGAATAGTCTGGCAGTGTATTTGGTCAACCTGTCCATATCTGATCTGCTCTACACCATCAGCCTGCCTGTATGGATCATGCTAGCTATGAAGCAGCCAGTGGATGACACCCTCTGCAGCCTCATCAACGTGATCATGTACAACAGCTTCTATGTGGGTTCGGGCCTGCTGTGCTGTATCTCTATGGACCGATACCTTGCTGTGGTCTTTCCTCTGCACTTCGACACAGCGCACAAGGTGCGGACAGCAGTTTTGGTGAGCATCTTAGTATGGCTGGTTGAGATCTCTTTGCACGCTGGCCTTCTGGGGTACACGGGGGACCTGCAGCATTTCTCACCCGCTCGTCTGTGTGATGTAAAGCAATCCATGACCATAAAACATGCCCACATGGCTATAATTCGAGTGGTGCTGGGATTTCTCATCCCTCTGCTCCTCATGGCCTTCTGTTTCCAGCAGATAATTATGTCTCTCCAGGCAAGCGTTTCCACGGTGGCCAGCGAGCGCAGAAAGATTCGCAACCTGCTCCTGCTTCTCTTCCTCGTCTACATGGTGGCTTTTGCCCCTTTCCAGGTCGTCATGTTCCTCAGGGGCCTGTTGGAGCCTGAGAACTGTAGCACTGCCAGACAACTCAGAGACTACTACATGGTGTTTGTTGCAACCACAACAATTAACAGTGTGGCAGACCCAGTTGTTTACTGCTTGATGAGTGAGAGTGCCAAGACGGAGATAAAAAGGATTTATACGAACTGTGAGAATCAATTCAGCAAAGTCGTTTCCATGATGAAATCCTCCTCCTCCTCCTCCTCCTCCTCCTTCTCCTCTACTGCCTAACAGCAAGTCCAATTACTTATGTGATTTTCTAAAGCGCACATTCTAAAAAACAGAAACCTTTTAAAAATTACAGTATATATTCTGTCACGCACATAATATCATTTACTGCAACATAATTTTTTAAGTAGTGTAATGTTTTGCTTTTTTGAAATCTCCTCTTAAAGAAAATGTCTTATTTTTTGACTGAAGGAATGAAAATCTCATTCCTATGATGCCATTGTCAACATTTCTAAGACTTAAACCTCACAGCAGTAAGACTTGATTTTCTTCAATGTGCTTTTTTGCTTTTTTCAAGCTTTTTTTTCAGAAGCTTTTTGTTTCTGCATATCTCTAGATGTACTTGTTCTGTTTATAACATTTTCTATCTATCTATTTGACTCGTTAAGTACATCAACATGAATTATCTGTCGGGAACTGAAAAGTCCGTCAATGGTAAAAGTAATCAAACCACACATTACACATGTTAAATCAATGATAATAGTAAAGTCATTTTTAAACATGCACAGTTAACCCCTTAAAATCCCAGTCTTATTACACACTAAGACTTATTATTCAGTACAGGAACTTCAATGCAAACTCGTTGAGCTATTCTTAGCTTATTGAAGTGTATAATGAAATTCTGGGCCTGCTGGCAGACCCTGGCCATGTAAGGGGTTAATCTACATTTTTCTGCTACATTTGCACAGACTATAGTCAGCAGATGTTAGCAGGCTAGCTAAAAAACTACAACAACCTTGTCACAACCTCCAGTTTTGTTGTTTACTTTTGATATGAACCACATAAACATGACTACGTTGGGTAAACAACGTAGATTTGCATATGAAAACAGCTCAGGTTGGTCATCTTTCTGCTGAAATACAGCTGGTAGTTATCAGGTTTAGTGAGCGTGTTTGAGCAGGAAATCTTCAAAGTGAGCTGGACTAAAGTCCTCCAGAGCTGCTGACCCCTGGCTTAGAGCACAGCAGACAACTCAGGAAAGTGCTGATGTGGCTGTGTGCTCCTATTGCGCAGAAGAAATTTTAGCTTCTTCTTAGTGTTGTTGTCTAGAAGGATCAGCATCCACATTATTCTCACTAATCATAGAACAAGGAAACATTTAAATAAAAAGGCACAACTTTTTTCTTGTTTTTCTTTCTTTTTGTAATAAAAAAAAAGCCAAGAGTAAAAAAATGCTAAACAACTTTAAAATAGGAAAAAAAACATGATTTCACTTTTTGCTGTACCATTTAAAGTTCTAGTTGATCTACTAAATGATATGAATATTATCTATCTGCGTGATGACTGGCACTCATATATTAATAAATGTGATTTGAGGATGTTTTATGGGAAACATCTATGATCATTATTTGTTTTGTTTTGTTTTGTTTTTACTTTTGTACTATTTACTACTTACTACTTTACTACTGGTAAACGCTTTGAGCTGCTACTTGTATGACGGGTACTCTATAAATTAAGTATATTATTGTTATTAGCCTAACTCACTGAAAATGTCTGCAGTGACTGGCTCCACCCCTTCTATTATATATATTATATATGCTCCACATAATGTAAATGTTCTCAGAAGAACCCTATAACTGTTACAGAAACTTTACACTATGTGAAGATTCCTAAAATCTTTAAAAGATTCTTCACACTCACAAATACTTCTTACAAAAGTGAGCTGAGCACAAGCAATATGCAGCACTTCACACTCCATAATCCTTTCTAAACATACAATTGTGGAAGGCTTGCTCTACCTGTACTTTTATTTATATTACATTTCTATATTGACAGTCATAGCGCCTCACTGACAGAATTCTAGTGTCTATTTTTTTTTTTTGTCTATTTTTGTAAGAAACATATGTAACTGGTTCATAAAGGCAAATAAAATACTTAACCACACCATGCCACCCTTTGTTTTTTGCATCCACAGCAACAAGTTCCAAAATGTCCTAAAACACCCAATAAAAAAGCAAACACTAAGCTCTGTTTGTGGTCCTGACTGACCTGGTCATTGTTTGTCTTGGAATGTCTTCCAAACCTCTAAATATAATTATGAACACATAACAGTTTACAACGTGTTAAATGTATTGCAGTGGATGAATAGTATGAGAAACATGATGTTTCATAATAGATTCATTTCAAACTATCTTTGTCTGTGTGTGTGCAAAGATAAACATTGCATTATTCAGACAAGTGACTGCATGCAGTGCTTTGCAAACTGCACTTGCAAGAGTCTGGCGCCTATTTCTCACGCTCATGTTCTGTGATGCTTTTTTGAGAAGTTTTCGTGAGTACCAGTCTGGTTCATCTATCTGTATGTTGTTCCACGAAGACTTAGTGAAAATGTGTTTTTGTTACTATCTCAGTTGAGCAGTGTGCTTTTTATGCCATTGGCAGGAAGCCACTGCAATGTGAATACTTTTGTAGGACCTAATTACATTTAATTTTTGTGCAACTTGATATACAGGTATTGTTGGTTCTATAAATATTTGCTGAAATACCTGCGCTTAAAAGTACATTGTTGAAGACTTGGCAGATATTTAATAGCTACTGATGAATTAGATGAAATAACAAATGACTTCATCTTGTCTACCTTGTCTATCGCAGTGTCCTATTTACTTTCACGTCATTAAGTGATCTGAACACAGCCACACTCTCCACAATGATTTTGCAAATCCCCCCTTTACTCTTAAAGACTGAAGCAAGATAAGTTATTGAAAGATATTAAAATGGCAAACAACATTTAAACATTAATTTTTTGGCTATAGTTTTGACTATTAAACGGCATTCCCTCAGTCACTTACCTGACCTGGAGCTGAGAGACGGATACAGAGTTAGTAGGCTAGCTAATCGGGTTTGCTGACTGCTATAAGACGTTAACTGTCTCAGTTTTTAGAAAGGCACCACATGAATGTCTTTTGAATTTGAATGATGAATTTTCATACTGCACAAATATAGTAAATCGTAATGGTACAGCACTGTAGCGACTTACTACTGGCTGGCACTGGCTCTGAGAGTCTCTGGAAGCGTGGCTACTGTATGCTAAGGCTAAGGCTCATGATATGCACGCACCCCCCCTGACTAAGGGACTTGTTGTTAATGTTGTTGTTTGTTAGTTTAAGTGATGTGTAAGTGTTATTCCTTGAGGAGTGGGTTAATGTGTGATTTTTGTGTGTGAGGGTTGGTCACCATCAGGGTGGAGTGTGTGCTTAGTGGTGACCTCCCCTGCAGTTTCAGTGTCCTGGATGTGCCATTCTTCTGTTGTGTTGAATGAAGAGCACTTAATCACAGCAGATCATGGTCACTGTGTTTGTTTCTTTGCTGATATCACAGTACATTTTAAGCATGAATAGTTAGGCCAGATTTAATTATTGCTTTGGATGAGTACAAAACAGCAGTAAATAGGCCACAACCCATAACTCACAAGAGGTGAAAGGTCATGTTATATCATCTAGAATCCCATGTGTATCATCTAGAATCCCGGTTTCTCACTAGTAAATATGACTTTATTGAGTGTTCAAGTGCAATTTACAAGCAGGAAAATTGACATTTCCCAGTTCTGACACCACTGGAATGCAGCGTCAAACGCTGAAATAACTTGCTGAGTCATCGATCCTGAATGAGATTTATGTTCCCCTACAAACGTTATTTCACTCAATGTGGAACTTGAGCTTGGACCACTAAGTTAGCACTGGAATATCAACTTCACTATCCATTCAGCAAACCAGCTAAATTGTTGAAAAACAACAGCAGCATGAATTCCATGCTGGCCTGAACTGGTTTATTCTGGCCTGGTGCTGGTTTAGCTGGTCACACAGCACAGTCAGTGTCCAAAACACAGCATGTGTTGGTTTTGGCGGTGATCAACTGTGCTAGTTTGTGCGTTTTTTTGAGCAGGGTACTTCTGTATAATGTTAAAACATGTAGTTTTTGCTTTTTTACACTTGAGTATATTTAAATGTTTATACTTTTTTATTTTTTACTTTCACACAGATGAATGTTTGGCTTGATACTTATACTTTGGTAAGGTTTTGACACAGTACTCTCACTTTCACTTGTGTAGAGTTTCTCTGTACTTTATACACCCCTGAAAATCACTACGTTTACTCATTCAGTGCTGAACAGCAGCCAGCAGAGTGTTGAAAGAGGGGAGTCATTACCAGTGGAAATAAACACCAAGGTTCGTCCACTGACGTGTTACACTTGCAAGTCTTCTTTCCCCACCCTCGCTGGTTTGAGGTAGTGCTAAAAACAGAAGAACACAGGAAGTAAAACTCCTCATTTCTTGTTCAAAGAAGACAAGCCACAAGCTGAGAAAACCATGCTGAGACGCTTTAATATATCATTTAACTCCTTTTCCACTTTTGTTGTTTTTTTCTGATTGATAATACAGAGTCTGTGCAAGGCCTTCCTGTGTGAATGGTAAGTTGACTGTAAATTTATGCTTTGTCATTATTGAGTCTTTAAGATCTATAAACAGCATGAACTCTCCATGTTCTTAATTGGTCAGTCTAGTTGAGCCTTCAAACTGACTGCAGCTTGGTTCCAATGAACTGTTCTCAAAATCTTATGTCCATGTTATTGTCCATATTAGGACATCGGCATCTGTACACACACTAGTAAAAGTCAGTGTGCACGCTTTGAAAAAGGTCCAGAGATGGTTGTGATGCCATAGAAGAACCACTTTTGGTTTACCAAAAACAAAAAAAAACACTTTTGGAAAAAAGTATTTGTGAGTGTGAAGAATGTTTTAAAGATTTTAGGAATCTTGACATAATGTAAAGTTTCTGTAAATATTTTAGGGTTCTACTGAGAACCTTTACATTATGTGGAGATTCTATAACTTTAAAGAGGTTCTTTACACACAAACACACACACACACACACACACACACACACACACACACACACACACCATTTACAGAAATGGTTATCAGAAGAAACATCCATTCAAAGGTACATTAGGGCACCAAAGGTGGTTCTTCTATGGCAAAGAACCCCTGATGGCACCTTTACTGTTAGTGTTTGGTTGCATATGTGCCTACATTTTCAGAAATAATCATTTATTTGTCTTTATAGAATTTAGACAAGATATCTACCAAGAGGCAGTTTGATGAAGGCTGGGATTTTTTCAGGGCTGTTAATATTACTTAATTAAGCATAAGTACATGATTTAAAAAACCATTGATTAAAATTTACCTCACATCCATAATGACTAGTTGGCAATTTGGTGCACATTTTAAATTAAGACATATATCAATTTTTATTGTTTGGCCTTTATCAAAAAACTGTGATTACTAGATTACTTGATTTCTAACACAATATGCCCTATTATTATAAGTTACAAATGACATGAATGCTGTCTGCCTTCGTTTTGCACCTGTTCAGCTGGAGGACGATGAATTCTACATCTGCTGCTTTTAACTCCACCACAGTTGAGCCAAATGACTGCTATCCTGAGTTTAATCTGAACAGCTACTTCTTCGTTATCCATTTGATCATCATCCTGATAGGAATTCCTTGCAATGCGTTCTCTCTGTTCGTGTCCTATCAGCGTATCAAACAGAAAAACGAGCTGGGGGTCTACCTGTTTAACCTGGCTCTCTCAGACTTTTGCTTCATTGCTGGTTTGCCTGTATGGATGGACTTTGAACTCAAAGATTCCTGGCACCATGGCAAAACATTATGTACTGTGTGCATCTTCTTCATCTTCACTAATTTCTATAGTAGTGCTCTGCTGCTGAGCTGCATTTCTCTTGACCGCTACTTTGCAGTGGTTCATCCACTCAGCTTCACCTTCCTTCGCAAACCCAGCACTGCAGCTACAGTCAGTGTTGCAGTATGGACCTTTACTCTCATGTTCAATGCCATCACCATTGACCCAGATAAGATTTATGATGACACCTACAGGGTCTGCTTGGATGTTTTCCCACTTTCCTCAACACAAAAGAAGGTATACGTAGTCCGTTTCTTTGCGGGCTTCCTTCTGCCTGCTGTGGTGGTGGTGTTTTGTTACTGGAGGATCTGCAGGGAGGTTTGTACAAACCAGGCCACAGGACTTTCTGAGCGCAGACGGGTCTTTAGGCTGCTGGGCAGTGTGCTGCTGAGCCTCTGCCTCTGCTTCGGCCCCGTCCACATCGCCATGGTGCTAAGGGCAGGACTGGAGAACCTGCAGACCTGTGCGCCACCTGCTTGGCTCTACTTCCTTTATAAAGCCGGAGTGGCTCTTGCCATGTTTAACTGCCTGGCTGATCCACTCCTGTACTGCTTCATCACCAGGAGAGGACGCACAAGCGTCACCCAGGCCATTCTGTTCTGTAAGAGTAAAGAACATTTTAAACAAAGATCCACTGATATTTAGGTTTTAGCAATGGTTTGGCTAAAAATCTAATTTTGTTGATCAGCCAAGATTTGTTTAAGTTTGCTTCTTTGGTTTTGCACTGTATTTACTAGAAGAAATGGTAGCTTAACATTGATATCATTGTGCAAACTGCATGTCTACATCATCACTCAGTCAAAATGTTAAGGAATCTCAAGTAGACCAAGTTACATGATTTCCAACACTGTATGGCATGGTCTTCTGAATAAAGATCTACAGTTGTGCAGTCAAACTTCAAGCTTAAAGATGGTTGGTACTGTTCTTAGCTATGTAAGGGACCCACATGCAGTTTACACATGCAGTTTGCACAATGCTAACAGGAAGCTATAAGCTTCCCCAAGCATTGAGCCTTGTAGGCCCTGTAGGGGTCTACTCATGACTAGACAAAGGGCTCATGTGCAGGGCCCATGACAATTTGTTCATTGGCAAATGGTTGATCTCCAAGTGTTGGCTCTGTGAACGGCACATACTCAGCCCTAACCAAGCCTAAGCTGGCCCAAGTTCACATGCCCACCCTCAGTCCACAGCAGGCCAGTGAGGCAGCATATGTGGACTATTACATTAGCCTTGAAAAAATGAAGAAGCAAACTTCAGACAGCATGTCTTGGCTGATGTACTGCATTTGAGGTAGAGGTTATACTTTTGTTTATGTATGTACAGTGAATTGCTATTTTGCAGAAAGTACTTTTTATGTTTTGAAGAACAGAAATGCTATAAATATATTTCTTGGTGAGAAACAAGAATTAGAGTATCCTATCTGATGGAGTATCCAATTCTATTTTGTTAATAAAGAACATTTCAGGAGTTCTACAAAAAACATTTGGTTGTCCAGACTAATTGTGTTGTTTCACAGACTGGACCACTAGATGGAGGCAAACAGAGTGGTCTTTCCTCTTTTGTACAAAACTGAATGAGGAAAAATGATTCCTCCTCACTTTTGGAGCCTAATAATGCTCTTATTAATCAAGCTTTTCTATTAGAAGATACTTGTTGTAAGTAAATAATCTAAGTAAATTGTGTTGTAAATTCCAGAGGTAAACAAAGTTTCAACACAAAACAAATTTGTAGCCTCTTACTTGTCTCAGTCTGGTGGTGAGAGTGGGAGGAAGGAAATGACTCACCATTCTTGTAAACCAGTCAGATTACCATCACCAAAGAGTAAGCAATCTTATTTTAAATTCTGATACTAAAGATAATGGAATAGTTTGCTGTTATTATTTGAAAACCCCTTCGTTCTATAGGTCGCAGCACATGTATCTCTTTTGATAAAGTTACAATCAGGTTCATTTATGTACTGATTATTTTTTAGACTTTTTAAGTTCTAGTTCTCATAAAGTGTGCAAGAGCAATGATGTTTTATATTTTTTTTCACTATAAACATCACATTAATTATCAAAAAATATTTTTTTAATGATCTCTTTTATTCATGTACATTCATTTATATTTGTATGCATTTTTGTGCCTCAAAGAACTATTGCTAGAGGCTTTAAAGGGCCCATACCCTAAATTTTTCTTGCATTTTATATACTTCCCTCAGGTCCACTTATTATTGTTATATACACCAATCAGGCATAACATTATGACCACCTCCTTGTTTCTAAGCTCATTGTCCATTTTATCAGCTCCACTTACTATATAGGTGCACTTTGTAGTTCTACAATTACAGACTGTAGTCCATCTGTTTCTCTGCATACTTTGTTAGCCCCCTTTTACCCTGTTCTTCAGTGGTCAGGACCCCCATGGACCCTCACAGAGCAGGTACTATGTGGGTGGTGGATCATTCTCAGCACTGCAGTGACACTATGCTGGTGGTGTGTAAGTGTGTGTTGTGCTGGTATGAGTGAATCAGACACAGCAGTGCTGCTGGAGTTTTTAAACACTGTGTTCACTCACTGTCCACTCTATTAGACACTCCTACCTTGTCAGTCCACCTTGTAGATGTAAAGTCAGAGACGATAGCTCATCTGCTGCTGCACAGTTTGTGTTGGTCATCCTCTAGTCCTTCATCAGTGGTCACAGGACGCGCCCACAGGACATTGTTGGCTGGATATTTTTAGTTGGTGGACTATTCTCAGTCCAGCAGTGACACTGAGGTGTTTAAAAACACACACTAACACACCACCACCACATCAGTGTTACTGCAGTGCTGAGATTATCCACCACCCAAATAATACCTGCTCTGTGAGGGTCCATGGGGGTCCTGACCACTGAAGAACAAGGTAAAAGGGGGCTAACAAAGTATGCAGAGAAACAGATGGAATACGGTCTGTAATTGTAGAACTACAAAGTGCACCTATACAGTAAGTGGAGCTGATAAAATGGACAATGAGCGTAGAAACAAGGAGGTGGTCATAATGTTATGCCTGATCAGTGTATGTCTACATATGTTTATGTACCAAAAACATGAGTTTGAAAAAAAATGACCATTTTCAAATTAGACAAGCTGTTTTTGGGTCTGTTATATGTAAATGAGCTCTGTTATGATTGGCTACCCTGTGTTGCACCTCATTCAGGAAACAGTCTAACCTGAAACACTCCTTATAACTTCAGTGTGAGTGGGCAGAGCTAAACTGCTATAGACTGAATAGGCAAATTTTTGAAAATGTGTTTTTTTTTCATGACACCACAAAACAATGAAGTTAAAATAAGCTGTTTTTGCAACTCAGAGAGTGTTTACACCTTGCATTAATGTATGTTTCACGTCTGGGTCATATCTGGACAAACTCTGGTCGAATTTTATTTACATTTTTTATTAAAATGCGTCCCTAGTTTGACCAGATGAGATCTGATTGTACTTTTCTCACATGAAAAACACTTTGTTATCATTTTACTTTTGTTTGCTCTTCTCACTGCAATAGGAGCTCAGCTTGGACACTTTCATCAGCCTGCCCATATGGAAAAAATGTATGGACATATATTTTTAGATATTTGAAATACATTTTTTAGTACATTGCAATCCATGCTGAAATGCATTCCAAACACTAAAACATATTTCAGAATATGTTGCCATATTAACCAAATATATTTTAAAATGCATTTATTTTGAAATGTATGGGCAAATATTACACCTAGAAATGCACCAGATAACAAATAAAGTGTCTGTAAATGTATTTTTGAAATACATTTGAAAATGTATGAAAATATCCAAACTACTTGTCTAATGCGTTTTACTGTTTGAAATACCTTTTGAAACAAATTTGTGTTCCAGTATTTTAATTTTAATTAGCATGTGAACCTTTAACATGGCAAAGGCAAGTGTTGTAGGTACTGATACTCTGTGAAAAAATATTTTTGTGACCATTTTCTTTCACTGCAAAAATATATTTGATAACTACATTTGGAAAATACATTTAAAATACATTTTAAAAATCTATGTAAATACATTTTTTGATCATATTGCAAAAACATACTTCATAAATAAATGTGGAATATTTTGGAATGTTTTTTTCCATATGGGTCGATTATATGAAGGCACTTGGTTTGGGGCTAACTTCAGCCTTGCGTATCTTCCATCTTTCATTTCATTATTTATCCCCTCTCCTGCAAGTCAGAGCTCAGCAGATGTGTTTCCGCTCATATGGTCAATGAAAATGCATGTGTTAAATGTGGTCAAGACCATCTCCAAACGTGGTTTGACTGATCCAATCATAATCTATTCAAAATGTGTCAAAACACATGTTAATGCCAAGTGCAAACAGGCTCTTAGTTCCCATATACGGACTGTATTTACTGGGGAGTGGACAGTATGTTTAGACATTTTAACTGTGTTTACATACTACAGTAAACTGTGAGGAAAGGTTTTCCATGATATGGAGAGACTTTTTAACAAGCTGAGTTTATAGGGAACTTTCAGCTCCTGTTCTCCAGCATCCCATGCTCTGCAGTTCTCTGTAATGCCTTCATGAGCTGAATTGTGTGTTAGAGCAAGTAAAGTACAAAAATGTGCAGCACCCTGTGATATACAGATGGTTTCTTTGCTAAACCAGGTTATTCATCATCACCGATGAGAAATAAAGTCAGCTATATCAGCCAGCCGCACCCTTGGAGGGGAGATGGATGCTCCTGTTGGCTCTTTGCCACCCACCTTCCCATCACCTTCATCAATCAAACATAGTCAGAGAGAAAATAGCAAGATGGCATCATAGCACGTGCCCACAGATGGAGTGCTGTAATGTGACTTAAAAATGCTACCAGTGCCTTTAATGCATGTTGGGAAATGATGAGCAGTCTCTTGTCCTGGCCAAATGCTCTACCCCATATTTCACCATTTACAATGTGCAGCATCAGCAGACTTCTAAGAACTGAGTGAACTCCAGGACCCTCAGTTGCCCTTGAAGATCCATGAACTAGTTTCCCCCAGAACGCAACTGATCTGCTGCAGCAGATAACACCTGCCAAAGAGGATCAATATCAGAATTCATTCATCATTCAACATGTACAGTTGTTTTCCCGTGTAGGATGCTGGACGACTTTCCTGCATGATGACCAAACTGTACTCTAGAAGTCTAGTAATCCCAGTTTTTTCACCCTCAGATTTCCTGGGGGTTTTTTTTGAGGACACTGGATGCTTTAATGGTAGCTCCTGCAGGAACTACGTTTTTCAGTGGAAGAATTTGCCATATTTAATTGCAATATTAAAAGATGTATTTGTAATAATGTTTAAGGCTTCTTTACTTTGAAACACTGTTGTATAAAACCAATAAAATATGTTGGTAATAAGTTGTGGGTTCTAACATAATAACACACACCCTCTTGAGCACTGTTAAAGAGGAATTCCAACAAAGTTTCAAATGTTTAGATTCAAACAAGTCATTCAGAGAGCTCCCATGTAAAGTGGTTCATTTTTGAGAAACTTAACTTTATAGTTAAGTTTCTATCACGACTACTACAACTTTTTAGTGGTGAGTCATAATGTCAACTCAAATATATGTTTCATTTACTATCCAAAACAACCAGTGAACTTACATGTGTCTGAGTTTTATATGTAATGTCGATGATGGTATAATAAGGGTAAATCTGAAAAAAGAGCTTTCCTTAGCATCTATTTTGCCTTACAATACCCTGCATTTATCTCTCCACCATGAATGCATTTTGAAAATACGTTTTAGGCCTAAAACTCTCAAATCTATCATAACAAATGTCTTAGATATCAGACAGCATATTTGTAACCATTTCATGCAATAACTTTCTGTGAGTAGCTTTTGGAGTCATTAATCATTTCAGACGTCTGGTTCCCACCATCACCACTCTGAGTAATTCTAACTCAATAAGATCCTGTTAATACTTGGTCTTTTCATGCGTGTTGAGTATCAGGATTACATCTACATAAGGCTAAGCCACATGAAAATGCAAGTGAAAACATATCCAAGACACATTTAACACAGATACAAATCTGACCAGTAAGACCACTTCAGGAAGTGATCTGAGACATATTTGAGCCACATTGTATCAGTGTAAACACATCTGTCTCTCTAAGACACATTCAACAACCAAGAGCCCTCCCAGTACGACTGAAACTCCTCCTCATACAGTACCTCACTGGGTATGTGATCTGTGTCTATGAGAAGATAATCATGGAGGATGAAACAAAATGCTTAACTGCAATATAAACAGACACTACTGTGCAACAAACGGCAGACAAAGAGGCTGAACAATTCATAATTGGTTGCCACGTAATGAGCAGATATGCATATTCCATCCCACACAGTATTTGACTATGAAGCGTAAATGCATATGGCTAAAATCTTACCAGGATA